TCCGAGGGTTACATTGTTGACGTTACATACCAGTATACAATAAGGAGACGTGATATGATTGCCAATGAGTAAATTATCCAACAGATTCCAAATGAAGTGGATTTCAGCAATTAAAGGTACCTAACGGCCTCCAACATTGAGCAAAAACTATTACGTGAAATCAGCTGGAAAAAGCAGCAACATGACAAAATGTGAAACGAAAAAACCCAACTTTATGAAAAAGCAATAAACGAAAAATGAATATGACATTCAGCAAACACTGAATTACAGGCCCCTGATTTGGGACAGGCACACATAGGATAAAAGGAGGGGGGGGTGTAAAATGTTTGTGAGCGTTCAACCCCCTAGCCTTGGACAGTGGTGTAAAAGCACAACACAAGAACGAACACTGTTAATTGTTGTTACACATAAGATCTGCTCGAAGCATAAAAGAACTTTCAATGAGACAAAAGACAAAAGACAAAAATAAATTATCTAAGAGTACTCGCAGTTACTGGAAGCTAGTTCAAAGCCAATAATAAGTAATAAATAAATCATGTTCTCCCAGACTAAAGTATAAATGAGTACACAAAAGTCATTCAACGGAATTAGTGTAAAGACGTCATAAACAGACTGAGTAAAGCATGACCTTGTGCAATGCCAAAATATAAGTACATGATATAGACAGAATTTAGGACCATAAGTTTTGTTATAAATATATAGCAATACATATTAAGTTCAAAAACAAAAGCAATGTTAGTACCGATAAAACAATATTCAAAGATCTTACTACGGAATTATAAATTAATTTAGACTATCAGCGCTTATTCAACAATGTGTAACCGCCGCAATATTTCATTGGTCGGTCTGGATATCCATACTGTTATTTTATTGAATCCAGATTCTGATCGTAGTATAATAATGTATTCCCTCTCTCTGTCGTTAGTTCCCAACTATGTAAATTATTCCAGCAAATATAGTCAATTGTTGCATTAGCTATATCATCAGGGCGCTAACCATAACAGTTTTTGTTAAATAACTTGAATATCTTGTGAAATGAATAGTATCGTACCGTGATGCGAAGCAATTAAAATACATCTTTAAATAACAATATGATCCGCAGTGATGCGCAATTGATCGTACCGTACGAAATACTCTAAATCTACCCGAATCTAAATAATTTACATAATCTACACATACGGTTAAAATTTTGTTACTTAAATGAAATACTTCTTAAATAAACAACTAGCGTCTATGATATAAATAGGTCGAATTTAAAATAAATGCAAATTATGATGATTTTGTGCTCATGATTAGGAGTGTTAAACTAAAATTCCTAAACAGATAAATCAAAGAGGTCAAATGATAGATGATATTATGGCCAGTAGATAGTCAATATCATGGCCAGTAGATAGTCAATACCATGGCCAGTAGATAGTCAATACCATGGCCAGTAGATAAACAATACCATGGGTAAAAAATAGGCAATGCCATGACTAAAAGATAGACAACACAAAATAAAGTATGGTTAAAACAAAAAAGGGAATGTCATGGTCAACAGATAGAAAATAACATTCCAAAAGGTAGGCAATGCCACGGACCAACTATAAACAATATTATAGCCAACAGATAGATTTTGATTTTTTGATTGTTTGGTGTTTTAACGCCACTTTTAAGCACCGCTTTTGGGCTATTTCGTGGCGGCCAGTTTTTATTGGTGGAGGAAGCCGGAGTGCCCGGAGAAAACCACCGACCTTCGATAGGAAAACTGACAATCCTAGTCAATTAAGATTGGAGTCGAGTGCACCCGCACGAGCGGGGTTCGAACTCACAACCTCAGTGTTGACTGGCTAGTGATTACAGTAGTACTACTAGCCAACAGATAGACAATACCATGACCAAAAGATAGACAATACCATCCCCAAAGGATAGACAATACCATGGCCAAAAGATAACAATATCGCGGCCAAAAGATAACAATATCATGGCCAAAAGATAGACAATACCATGGTCAATCAAAAGACAATATCATAGTTAAAAGATAGACAATATCATAGCCAAAAGATGGACAATACCTTGGCCAAAACCTAGACAATATCATGGGCAAAAGATAGACAATGCCACAGATATAAAAACAAAAAGAAAATTAACAGTCCTAAAGACACTGCACTGTACACCCAAGATTGAGAAACACGAACCCCATCATAAGTCGGTAGGAAGACCAGGTGCTAGCTACATGTAGGTTCGAACCGCCTCGGTGGTTCCGTGGTAGCGCGTTTGCCTCGTGTGCGGGATATCGTGGGTTCGAACCCCGGCCGGGTCAAACCAAAGACTTTAAAAATGGTATTTGCTGCTTCTCCGCTATGCACGCGGCATTAAGGCGTAAGAGCAAAGACTGGTCGGCTCGGAGTCAGAATAATGTGGATTCGAACTCATGCTACTGAGATATCGTGGCACCAAATCGCCCAGCACTATGCCCGACGCGCTTGACCACTCGACCACCTAGGCTCTATTTTCAGCCTTGTATCACAATCACTGCTGGTGATCCGATGGATAAAATCTGTTGTAGAGTCGTCACTGGTTCAGACGTACTTATTATATATATATATAAACAAGTCTAAATTGAAAACAACGTTCAAACCTATGATTGCGTTGGATAAAAACCGCAATTTTTATACGTGTGCATGCAAAACAAATTTCTTAGTAGAGGGGTCTAAATACAGCACAAACAACATTTTCAAAAGACCAAAAAAAGTGAAAAAGTATATTTTAACAAAACGCATTTGACTAGCAGGTCGAACAACTGATGTTCTTAAACCCTGCTGACTGCCATTGGCGATTGCCAAATAAACGGATCACAAGATGTAACAAAATGGATCTTATAATTAATTTATTACCAAACAGAAAACAATAAACTTGCGGAAAAGATGGTATACCGCAAACATGAGGTGCAAAATTTTGTACACCATATCCGGATTTCGACAATTAATGTCTCTTCAGTGATGTTGGGAATCGAAACGGTATTTGGAAGGCCATATAATTTACCTCAATTTAGGATAGACTCTTGAATTTTGAAAGACTCGAAATAGGATGAACGGATGATATAAACCCGAAGGCAAATATAATACAAGCCCAAACGAAAATATATAAACAAGTCTAAATTGAAAACAACGTTCAAACCTATGATTGCGTTGGATAAAAACCGCAATTTTTATACGTGTGCATGCAAAACAAATTTCTTAGTAGAGGGGTCTAAATACAGCACAAACAACATTTTCAAAAGACCAAAAAAAGTGAAAAAGTATATTTTAACAAAACGCATTTGACTAGCAGGTCGAACAACTGATGTTCTTAAACCCTGCTGACTGCCATTGGCGATTGCCAAATAAACGGATCACAAGATGTAACAATATGGATCTTATATAATTAATTTATTACCAAACAGAAAACAATAAACTTGCGGAAAAGATGGTATACCGCAAACATGAGGTGCAAAATTTTGTACACCATATCCGGATTTCGACAATTAATGTCTCTTCAGTGATGTTAGGAATCGAAACGGTATTTGGAAGGCCATATAATTTACCTCAATTTAGGATAGACTCTTTAATTTTGAAAGAGTCGAAATAGGATGAACGGATCATATAAACCCGAAGGCAAATATAATACAAACCCAAACGAAAATATATAAACAAGTCTAAATTGAAAACAACGTTCAAACCTATGATTGCGTTGGATAAAAACCGCAATTTTTATACGTGTGCATGCAAAACAAATTTCTTAGTAGAGGGGTCTAAATACAGCACAAACAACATTTTAAAAAGATCAAAAAAGTGAAAAAGTATATTTTAACAAAACGCATTTGACTAGCAGGTCGAACAACTGATGTTCTTTAACCCTGCTGACTGCCATTGGCGATTGCCAAATAAACGGATCACAAGATGTAACAAAATGGATCTTATAATTAATTTATTACCAAACAGAAAACAATAAACTTGCGGAAAAGATGGTATACCGCAAACATGAGGTGCAAAATTTTGTACACCATATCCGGATTTCGACAATTAATGTCTCTTCAGTGATGTTAGGAATCGAAACGGTATTTGGAAGGCCATATAATTTACCTCAATTTATAATATATATATATATATTTATATGAAAATGCATGCTACTTTAGTTACTTAATTGATTTTCTTGTTGCTTTGTTTATTTGGTTAACTTTTTATTTTGATATTGTAGTACATGTAGTTTGTTTCCCCATGTATAACTTCATGTATAATGCAAACATTTTGAACTGTCATAATATATAATATATGTCCATTTTTAGGTTATGAGACCGATGACTTTCTTTGAACAATAGGAAAACCAAAAAAGAATGTTAAAGACGTAAAACAGCTAGGACTTTCTACTCTAATTATATAACAATCAAAACAAGACTGAGAAAATAAGCATAAAAAGGCTACAAAAAAAAAAAAAAAAAAATAAACATGTTTTGTATTTATATTGTATCATAGATCAAATTTATTCGTTCAGTGTATGTTCACTTGTGTTAATATGTCTTTTGATTGAGTTAAGCCATTTCAATTGATATTTTATAGTGTATCTTTCTATGTTGTGATGTTACACTATTGTTTCAGATAAGGTTGTGGGTTTGGTACCATCAAAACGTTTAAACCCGCTGCAATTGTTTGCACCGGTCCTAAGTCAGGAATCTGATGTTCAGTAGTTGTCGTTTGTTGATGTGGTACATAAGTGTTTCTCGTTTCTCGTTTTTAATATAGATTAGACCGTTGGTTTTCCCGTTTGAATGGTTTTACACTAGTAATTTTTGGGGCCCTTTATAGCTTGCTGTGCGGTGTGAGCCAAGGCTCCGTGTTGAAGACCGTACTTTGACCTATAATGGTTTACTTTTATAAATTGTGACTTGGATGGAGAGTTGTCTCATTGGCACTCATACCACAGCTTCTTATATCTATTGTACCTGTATGTGTGCGACAATAAAAGAAACAAGTAAAAAGCAAAAAATTGCACTTTTATATAATGATAGTCACATCTCTAGCTATAAAGATTGATTAGACATACATATGAAATTAAATCAAAAGGCAGCAACAATTCCCTTAACTTTACAGTCTTCTTATAGTTATTTGTCTAATGAATGAAACTTTGTTTTTGCTTGTATATATATAGGTACTGCATATATATGTATATATGGTGTTAGCCCTGTATAACCACGTGTTACCCGATGGAGAATGTCTGTCATTAGGTTGTCACATGTTTAGACGTGTATATTAAAATTAAAATTTGTTGTGGCGTTATGGTAATTAACATTATCATCCTTTACGGCAGACAAAATAGCTGATCTGAAAGGTACACCATCTACTTGCCACTATACATCATGTACTCAACCCTAGATAAAGCCGACGAGGAAAGGCATTACATCGACCACCGAAAGCTACATAAAAAGCCTAAGTGGTCGTGTGGTCTAGGGCGCTGGACACGGTGCAGGCGGTGTTGCCACGATGTCACAGACGCAAGGGTTCGAATCCCGCTGAGGAAAGAACAAAAATTTGCTAACGCAAATTTGAAGATCTAACATTGTTAGGCTAAATTTGAGACGAATTATATAGATATAGGAAGATGTGGTATGAGTGCCAATGAAACAACTCTCCATCCAAGTCACAATTTATAAAAGTAAACCATTATAGGTCAAGGTATGGTCTTCAACACGGAGCCTTGGCTCACACCGAACAACAAGCTATAAAGGGCCCCAAAAAAATTACTAGTGTAAAACCATTCAAACGGGAAAACCATCGGTCTAATCTATATAAAAAAACGAGGAACGAGAAACACTTATGAACCACATATATATATTATGGTGTTAGCTGTATAACCACGTGTTATCCGATGGAGAATGTCTGTCATAAAGTTGTCACATGTTTAGACGTGTATATATGTAGTGCCTATATAGTAAACCATAGAGGAAAGGAGAAAATATAAAGTAAATTTGCATTTGCCCTGTTTATTAGTACAATAAAAATAAGAAAAATGATAAGAATAAACACTGAAAGAACTTCAGTATGACATATTGGATTGCAAAATATTGAACAAAACAAAACTCACACATTCTATAAGTCTCATTCTATACTACCTAGAAGGTCACATTAATCATATGTACAGTTGCTATACTGACTTAAACAAATGTTCTGCAATCCTAAAATTAAGGGGAGATAATATGTTTGGATTTGGATTATCTCCCTTTGAGTGTTGAAATTAAGTTTAGTGGGTATAAATTTGTTGGGTCCCCCCCCTAACCCTTTTTTTGGAAACAGGTAATCCAAAATCTTTTTTTAAGTTGCACAAAAAAAAATATCATTATATGATAATCATGACTTTTGTTACTCTTACTTTTTTTATTTATTACTATTCTTATGTTTGCACAGTGTTTTACCAAGGTTTATTTATCCATGAAGGAAGATGTATACATCATCTAGTTTATACAGATACAATATTACGGCTTTGTGTTTCCATAGACAATTGTATGAGTCAAAGTGTAATCAGGGGAATGAAATTAAGAAATGGAATGTTTATTCTATATCTTAGCTATTTAAATGACTAAGGATATATTACAAATTTTCTCATACAACTGTCAAGGTTTAAATTCTAGAGAGAAACGGAGAGATGTGTTCGAATACTTGAAATCAAAACTCTGTCATGTTTACTGTCTGCAAAACACGTACTTTACTGAAAAAGATGAATCCTTTATTAGAAACCAATGGGGAGGAGAATGTATTTTTAATTCTTTTGCCTCCAATCAAAGAGGAGTTGCCATTTTATTTGCAAATAATCTTGAATATAAAATAAATAAAATATAGAAAGATGAAAATGGAAATTTCCTGGGTGTTGACATTACAATTGAAGGTAAAAATATAACACTTGTAGAGACATTATCATAGCCAAAAGATGGACAATACCTTGGCCAAAACCTAGACAATATCATGGGCAAAAGATAGACAATGCCACAGATATAAAAATAAAAAGAAAATTAACAGTCCTAAAGACACTGCACTGTACACCCAAGATTGAGAAACACGAACCCCATCATAAGTCGGTAGGAAGACCAGGTGCTAGCTACATGTAGGTTCGAACCGCCTCGGTGGTTTCGTGGTAGCGCGTTTGCCTCGTGTGCGGGATATCGTGGGTTCGAACCCCGGCCGGGTCAAACCAAAGACTTTAAAAATGGTATGTGCTGCTTCTCCGCTATGCACGCGGCATTAAGGCGTAAGAGCAAAGACTGGTCGGCTCGGAGTCAGAATAATGTGTCCGGGTAAGGTGATATGTCTTCCTGTGGACTGTTACCTTGTGAACTAGCACGTTAAAAATCCGGCTCAGCGTTTCGGTCTAGTACAAAGCAGGGTGTTGTCTCGATATCCCAATAGCATGAGTTCGAATCCCGGCAAATAATATATATATATATATATATATATAATTCGTCTGAACAACAGACCAACAATGTTAGATCTGTAAATTTGCGGAAGCAAATTTTTTGTTCTTCCCTGGCCGGGATTCGAACTCCTGCTACTCGTGGCACCAAATCGCCTTGCACTATGCCCGTCGCGCTTGACCACTCGACCACCTAGGCTCTATTTTTAGCCTTGTATCACCATCACTGCTGGTGATCCGATGGATAAAATCTGTTGTAGAGTCGTCACTGGTTCAGACGTACTTATTATATATATATATATATATTTATATGAAAATGCATGCTACTTTAGTTACCTAATTGATTTTCTTGTTGCTTTGTTTATTTGGTTAACTTTTTATTTTGATATTGTAGTACATGTAGTTTGTTTCCCCATGTATAACTTCATGTATAATGCAAACATTTTGAACTGTCATAATATATAATATATGTCCACTTTTAGGTTATGAGACCGATGACTTTCTTTGAACAATAGGAAAACCAAAAAAGAATGTTAAAGACGTAAAACAGCTAGGACTTTCTACTCTAATTATATAACAATCAAAACAAGACTGAGAAAGTAAGCATAAAAAGGCTACAAAAAAAAAAAACAAAAAAAAATTAAACATATTTTGTATTTACATTGTATCATAGATCAAATTTATTCGTTCAGTGTATGTTCACCTGTGTTAAAATGTCTTTTGATTGAGTTAAGCCATTTCAATTGATATTTTATAGTGTGTCTTTCTATGTTGTGATTTTACACTATTGTTTCAGATAAGGGTGAAGGTTTGGTACCATCAAAACGTTTAAACCCGCTGCAATTGTTTGCACCGGTCCTAAGTCAGGAATCTGATGTTCAGTAGTTGTCGTTTGTTGATGTGGTACATAAGTGTTTCTCGTTTCTCGTTTTTAATATAGATTAGACCGTTGGTTTTCCCGTTTGAATGGTTTTACACTAGTAATTTTTGGGGCCCTTTATAGCTTGCTGTGCGGTGTGAGCCAAGGCTCCGTGTTGAAGACCGTACTTTGACCTATAATGGTTTACTTTTATAAATTGTGACTTGGATGGAGAGTTGTCTCATTGGCACTCATACCACAGCTTCTTATATCTATTGTACCTGTATGTGTGCGACAATAAAAGAAACAAGTAAAAAGCAAAAAATTGCACTTTTATATAATGATAGTCACATCTCTAGCTATAAAGATTGATTAGACATACATATGAAATTAAATCAAAAGGCAGCAACAATTCCCTTAACTTTACAGTCTTCTTATAGTTATTTGTCTAATGAATGAAACTTTGTTTTTGCTTGTATATATATAGGTACTGCATATATATGTATATATGGTGTTAGCCCTGTATAACCACGTGTTACCCGATGGAGAATGTCTGTCATTAGGTTGTCACATGTTTAGACGTGTATATTAAAATTAAAATTTGTTGTGGCGTTATGGTAATTAACATTATCATCCTTTACGGCAGACAAAATAACTGATCTGAAAGGTACACCATCTACTTGCCACTATACATCATGTATTCAACCCTAGATAAAGCCGACGAGGAAAGGCATTACATCGACCACCGAAAGCTACATAAAAAGCCTAAGTGGTCGTGTGGTCTAGGGCGCTGGACACGGTGCAGGCGGTGTTGCCACGATGTCACAGACGCAAGGGTTCGAATCCCGCTGAGGGAAGAACAAAAATTTGCTAACGCAAATTTGAAGATCTAACATTGTTAGGCTAAATTTGAGACGAATTATATAGATATAGGAAGATGTGGTATGAGTGCCAATGAAACAACTCTCCATCCAAGTCACAATTTATAAAAGTAAACCATTATAGGTCAAGGTACGGTCTTCAACACGGAGCCTTGGCTCACACCGAACAACAAGCTATAAAGGGCCCCAAAAAATTACTAGTGTAAAACCATTCAAACGGGAAAACCATCGGTCTAATCTATATAAAAAAACGAGAAACGAGAAACACTTATGAACCACATATATATATTATGGTGTTAGCTGTATAACCACGTGTTATCCGATGGAGAATGTCTGTCATAAAGTTGTCACATGTTTAGACGTGTATATATGTAGTGCCTATATATTAAACCATAGAGGAAAGGAGAAAATATGAAGTAAATTTGTATTTGCCCTGTTTATTTGTACAATAAAAATAAGAAAAATGATAAGAATAAACACTGAAAGAACCTCAGTATGACATATTGGATTGCAAAATATTGAACAAAACAAAACTCACACATTCTATAAGTTTCATTCTATACTACCTAGAAGGTCACATTAATCATATGTACAGTTGCTATACTGACTAAAACAAATGTTCTGCAATCCTACAATTAAGGGGAGATAATATGTTTGGATTTGGATTATCTCCCTTTGAGTGTTGAAATTAAGTTTAGTGGGTATAAATTTGTTGCCCCCCCCTAACGCTTTTCTTTGGAAACAGGTTATCCAATATTTTTTTTTAGTTGCACCAATACAAATATCATTATATGACAATCTTGACTTTTGTTCCTCTTACTTTTTTTTATTTATTACGATTTTTATGTTTGCACAGTGTTTTACCAAGGTTTATTTATCCATGAAGGTAGATGTATACATCATCTAGTTTATACAGATACAATATTACAGCTTTGTGTTTCCATAGACAGTTGTATGAGTCAACGTGTAATCAGGGGAATGAAATTAAGAAATGGAATGTTTATTCTATATCTTAGCTATTTAAATGACTAAGGATACATTACAAATTTTCTCATACAACTGTCAAGGTTTAAATTCTAGAGAGAAACGGAGAGATGTGTTCGAATACTTGAAATCAAAACTCTGTCATGTTTACTGTCTGCAAGACACGTACTTTACTGAAAAAGATGAATCCTTTATTAGAAACCAATGGGGAGGAGAATGTATTTTTAATTCTTTTGCCTCCAATCAAAGAGGAGTTACCATTTTATTTGCAAATAATCTTGAATATAAAATAAATAAAATATAGAAAGATGAAAATGGAAATTTCCTGGGTGTTGACATTACAATTGAAGGTAAAAATATAACACTTGTTAATTTATATGGACCATAAAATGACTCACCTTCTTTTTATAATAGAGTCAATGAAATAATCGAAAATTTTAACTATCAACAAGTTATTCTGACTGGAGATTTTAACTTAGTCCAAAATCAGGCATTAGATACATGTACTTGCAACTACCTAAATATAAATAATCCACGAGCAAGAGAAAAAGTCTGTGAACTTATTGAAACCTATGATCCAATCGATCCCTTTCGGGAATTCTACCCAGATAATAAACGATATACGTGGAGAAAAATTAATCCTCTGAAGCAAGCTAGGCTCGATTTTTTTCTTGTATCTCGGAGTTTCTATCAAAATATAAAAGAAGTAGAAATTCAAAACAGCTATAGATCCGATCAATCACCAATATTTTTACACTTTAAAATAAATTATTTCAATATTGGGAAGGGTTTATGTAAATCTAATAATAGTTTATTTTATGATATAGAATATATTGAAACTGTCAAAGAAAAAATAAAACAAGTTAAAGATCAATATGCAACTTTAGTATACAACAGAGACACACTAGATCAAGTGGATTGCTTAGATATTCAATTCACAATAAATGAACAACTGTTCTTAGAAACATTAATGACCGAAATTAGGGGTAAAACAATTTCCTTTGCATCATATAAAAAGAAAGAAAAAAAAATTCAAAAATTAGAAGAAAATATACAAACCACAGAAACTCTTGAAAATCTCAACCAAAAAAAAATCTGAATTACAAATTTTAAGACAAGGAAAAATGCGTGGTCATTATGTCCGTTCAAAATTGCAATGGGTAGAAGAAGGAGAAAGATCCTCCAAATATTTCCTCAATTTAGAAACTAAGATTTTTTTTAATAAAACAATTCCAAGACTAGTCAATAATGAAGGTCTTTGTATAAACAAACAAGAACAGATTTTAATGGAAGCCAAAAACTTCTATAAGGATTTATATTAAAAAAATGATACAATAGAAAATGTTGATCTCAATAAGGAAATTCCATATTTAGATGTTCCAAAGTTAATAAACGAAAGAAAGGATATCCTTGAGGGGAAAATTTCTTATTCAGAATTAACAGCAGCTATTAAAAGAATGAAAAATAACAAAAGTCCAGGATCGGATGGATACACCAGTGAGTTTTCTAAATTCTTTTGGATAGATTTAGGCAAATTTGTTCTACAATCAATCAACTATGGGTATAATATGGGTGAAATGTCAGTATCTCAAAAAAGGGGAATAATCACTTGTATACCAATAATATATATGAAAAACTGGAGACCTACAAGTCTTTTAAACACAATATATAAACTTGGGTCTAGCTGTATTGCAGAGCGATTGAAGTCTATGTTGTCACTTTTAATAAATAACTATCAAACAGGGTTTATTCCTCGAAGATATATTGGTGAAAATACTAAATTAATTTATGATATTTTATTGTATACAGAAGAAATGACATACCTGGTATTCTCCTCCTTATTGATTTTGAAAAGGCTTTTGACTCAATTTCTTGGAGTTTTATTAAAAGCGTATTGGACTTTTTCAATTTCGGACCATCTATTAAACATTGGATCATTACTTATAAAACTAAAATTCAATCTGCAGTCACTCAAAATTGCCATCTCTCAGAATTTTTTGACATTCAGAGAGGCTGTCGACAAGGGGATCCCCTGTCACCATATATATTTTTACTGTGTGCAGAGATACTTGGTATACATATACGAAATAATGACCAAATTAAAGGAATCACCATAGATGACTCAGAGTATCTCATTTCACAATATGCAGATGATACTTCTCTTATACTTGATGGATCACCAGAATATTTGGATGCATCTCTCCGTACTCTAGATAAATATGCATATTTATCAGGTCTTAATATAAATTTAGACAAGACCAAGGTTGTTATGATTGGGAAGAAAAAGTTTAGTCAAGAAACTATGTGTGTTAAGTGGGGATTGGAGTGGGGTTCCAGCAGATTTACACTTCTTGTGATAAATGTCTCCGTGGATTTTAATGAAATTGAATATTTAAACTATGACCCCAGGATGAAAGAAATCGAAAATACTATAAAACTTGGTCAAACCAAATACTCTCCCCAATAGAAAAAAATATATTTTATAAAAATAAAAGACTCAGTAGGGCAGAGAACTGCTGGAAACTCTGGACTCCTTTATTGTCATAAAAAAAAAAGATAAACAACAACACTATATGTTATAAATTAAAAATATGTATTCTCTATCCAAGCAACCTTTGTCTTGCAATCATATTCTGCAATGTATCAAACTATTTTAGCTGTGTCTATTTAATATGTTGTATATCTTCTGCCTATATATTATATTATGTATAAAATTGAGAATGGAAATGGGGAATGTGTCAAAGAGACAACAACCCGACCACAGAACAGACAACAGCAGAAGGCCACCAACAGGTCTTCAATGCAGCGAGAAATTCCCGCACCCGGAGGCGTCCTTCAGCTGGCCCCTAAACAAATATATATACTAGTTCAGTGATAATGAACGCCATACTAAACTCCAAATTGTACACAAGAAACTAAAATTAAAAATAATACAAGACTAACAAAGGCTAGAGGCTCCTGACTTGGGACAGGCGCAAAAATGCGGCGGGGTTAAACATGTTTATGAGATCTCAACCCTCCCCCTATACCTCTAGCCAATGTAGAAAAGTAAACGCATAACAATACGCACATTAAAATTCAGTTCAAGAGAAGTCCGAGTCTGATGTCAGAAGATGTAACCAAAGAAAATAAACAAAATGACAATAATACATAAATAACAACAGACTACTAGCAGTTAACTGACATGCCAGCTCCAAACTTCAATTAAACTGATTGGAAGATTATGTCTTCATCATATGAATATCAGGCACAATCCTTCCCGTTAGGGGTTTAGTATCATACCATCATAACATATATGAGAAGAACATAACCCGTGTCATGCCAACAACTGGTTTTTAAATAAATGTGTTTAGTGCCGATGCAAAGACCCTATAAGTGAATCAATATTAACGCCAAAATATGCAATCTTTAATGACCTGACAACAGTATCGTAACTATATCCCTTCTTAATAAGTCTATTTAAAGGTTTTGTTAGTTTCAGAGGTGAATACTGACATTTTTGTGCTTTATAAAGAATATTTCCATAAAAAAATGGATGTGAAATACCTGAACGTATAAGAAGTCTGCAATGTGTATAACTTACTATTATGCTCATGTGCAAATAAAATGAAATTCATTATAAAAAAAAAATTTCAGGAAGCTCTAATTTATAGTTCCTAAGACAAAAGAGACGGACATTCCATTGGACGGACGTATGGACAGAGGTAAACCAGTATACCCTCATTCGGATCATGGTATAAATATACATAAAAAGCTCTAAAACCAAAATGTCGAAAGATCATTTACTGAACATTAGATTTATTTGCATCATTTGTTTTAAGTTGTGCATAAAATCAATTGAAAATTAAAAGTTTAATTTACGATTAACTATTAGAGTTTGAAGTCATGTTAATTGGTTTTGGCGTTTCGAATATCAAATTGCTCTTTTTTATTACAAAAATGTACACTACGTTTACTAAAAAACTTGAAATATTATACTACATAGACTGCAAGAAACAATCAGGACTAACTACATAGACTGCAAGAACCAATCAGGATTAACTACATAGACTGCAAGAACCAATCAGGACTATCACTCTCCTCTTTGTCTTCTTCTGGCACTGAATCATAAGTTACCGATTTACTTAAGAATTGTTTATGTTCCATATCACCTGGTTGTTGAGCAAAATCTGGGTCCGATGATGGATTGACTAACCGTTCAGCTTCTGCAGGAGGGCCATCAGCCCAGTACTGTTTATGTCCAGATGCAAATATGCCATAGTATAAAACTCCAGCTAGATGTATGGCACCAGCTATCCAGAACACTTCGTGCCATGTCTTTTCGTGCGAAATCTACAGAAAACAAAATTTTTAGATAAAAAATAGTATATGATACAAGCTATTTGTAAATATGGCAGAGTACCATATATAGACACTTTTGTCTGTGCTAATATAGTGACAATGCTACAATAAGATGACATTTATGTTCTAGGAATAACTAGTACTGCTAGTATTCTTGCCCATGTAAAAACAAATTTATTTAAGAGTTGAAAGTGATACATGTACCTCCAAAAAATTGAATAATTTTAAATCAGTCCTTTAATTTAAGCCTTTGTTATGTAGATATATTTTTTGAATAATGACTTGAATATTATTTTCAATTCATGTATGAGGTGGAAATTATTAACAGAATAGACAAACAACACTCCACAAAATACTATACAGGAAAATGAAGATTGAGCAGCACGAACATCATCCAAAAACCACTGAAGAACTCGGGTTTCCTCGATGGTAGTCCGGGATTGTCTGATGACGGCCATTTTTGGGACTTGTTTGAGCCGTGAGACGTTCTACGGACAAGTCCTTCACAAGGCCGTCAGTGTCAGATGAACATCGGACTATCCAGAAAGTGTTAGCAGGTCCCATCGTTTTGTTTATAAATGAGAAATAAAACCGTAATGAGTCGCATTCGGTTATGTCTTAATCTAGGAAAAAAGGCCTGATAATGTGGCAACGACAAGTGGAATATATTCGTAGTATCAGCAATGCATGTATTCTATAGCGATCGACCAAACCATGATTGCGTCCCTTAAACAACGAAGAAATAACTTTATCCACTGGTTCAATATCTGCCTTTCTACCAGCAACCCTCTTTTCAAGAAAACGCAAGCAATTGAATATCATATCAATTAGTAGATATATATACTCATTATGCAGATGCAACTGAAATGCTACTAAACAGAAATGGAAAAGTCACAATGATAAATTGAAATACTAGTGATCTCTTTTTTTTCGTAAAATTTAGTTTTCAGCCAACCCGCATGGTCAATTTGTATGTATAAATTCAGATATGAAGCAGACTTATCTGCGTTTGTGGAATCCTTATTTTAAGTGAAATGAAAAAGAAGTCATCAACCTACTGGACGAACTTTGAATTGCTTAGTGCACTTTACACAAAACAGAATATAAGTATATTATCAATATATTTGTGTCACCTACGCTTGGTGTAAAAATAAACAGGAATCACATGTACAACTGGTTCAATGCTCAGGTGTTTGCGCCTTCTATATGCACTTCTTTGAGTGCATAATAACTGGCTAATATATCACGTTGCTATAATCGGCATTTATTGACATTTCCTTTAGAGAATATGTGCAGTAGCTTCCACATATTGGTCGAAGTTTAACGTGTCACAATTTGTCGAAGAAATATTGTCGAACGTTCCTTTACAGATTTGACGAACTTGACTTATTGCATTTATGTCTTGCAAATGGTCGATAACATACTTATTCTTTCTAACTTGGTAAAAACAATTAGTGTAAGTTGACCAACTTTCTTGTTGTTGCCGAAGAGGCACCAATGGTGTTAGCTTACAAGGAAAATTCATTAAAATACTTACCGTAGGAAATAGAGAAGGGAAAACAGTTGCAGTAAGGTTCTTTTAGATGTCCTTTGTTTATTTATGCGCGTGTCGTTTAATCCTATCTTAATGACGCATGCTCCACATCTCTTTTCTCATTCATATTCCTACTATGACAGCAACACTGCTGTCAAGGTGATTAAAGTGCTTCTAAGGAACATTATTTTCGGCAATATACTGATAGGTACGATAAATATATATTATCCATTAAATTGAACAACGATATATTTACCTATTCGTGATAACATAGTAAGAACTCACCAATAGTGTACCGTGAAATATTGATAAAGCAATTATAATTGTCCGTGAATTTAACTTACCCGTGTTCTGCCACGAAGAACTGATGCTGTTAAAGTGCTTAGTATAGCTCCTATCACACCTGTTCGAGATATGCCGGTTAGAACACTTGCGTAAGTTGGTGAAAGATCTAAAGGGTTAACTTGGTATCCTGTTAATACAAGTCAGATACAAATGTGAAAAATATAAGTATCTGCTGCCACCAAAGGTTACTGAAAAGATGACACATATTTTGTGATCGTTGCCACCAAAGATTAATGAGCAGAGGATACATATTTTGTAATCGCTGTCACCAAATGTTACTTGACTGATGATACATATTTTGTGATCGCTGCCACCAAAGTTTACTGAACAGATGAAACATAATTTGTCAACCCATTTCGATGTTAGATATTAATTTCAAGCATTATTATTTATAGTTTGAGCTATATTGAAAATATGTTTATCCCGATTCCCGTTATATATAACTATGTTGATGATGCCACCAACAACTAAGCAAATTAATTGTTAACTCTTACTTTTGCTCTATAAATGATCCATTCAACAGAATGAATTACAAGTTTATTCAGATTAAAATAAAATTTGTTAAAATAATTACGTTAAAAAAGTCTTTTGAGAGAATTAAGATGTGCAGAACTGAATTTAGTTCCTTACCTGAAATAGCCAAACCACTGAAGGCTACACCAACACACATAACGATCATTACAACTTCTAACCGTGTTATAAAGCCAAGACAAATAATACATATTGCTTCAATACCAAATCCTGAAAGAATCCCACATAGGTAATAAGATCTTTATTTCATCACTAGTAAATTGTATCATATATTATACTTATTTTCAGCTTGCGTTACTAACTGTCAAAATTCAAATAAGAGATACTTTTGAGAAAGATTGTTTTTATTTTCAAAAGAAGTTGAAGTATAACTGACAACGCCGAGTGAAAAAACAAATGTTAAGTATTCGAGTAATTCCTTATTTATATGTAATCATACGATCTATAGCTATCTGTATTAATGCGGATTTTATAGATTTATCTATTTATGTTATTACCTGAACATTGGGCCATCTTTCTCCCTACTGTGGTACTTATCAAACCAGACTTTATGAGTTTATCTATTAACACTCCACCAGTAACCGTTACAATTGTCATGCATACCTCTGATAAGCTTGATAACAATCCAATCTGAAAACCGTAGCGATGCATTATATAAATTGTAATTAACAATTTTATATATCGAACAGTAAGTAATATGTTTCTTTATAATGTTTTATGTATATGTATATACTTATGGGACAACTTCAAAACGCCTTTTGGCTAGTGCTCCATACCAGCCATTATCATGGTTTCGATGCGCTGAAGCTATTGATTTAAAATGGAAAGATTCACAAGACCACCCGAATTAATTTCTTGGACACTGTAACGCTTTCGGTGGTTCAATTGTATGAGTTACACATGAAACATCAATGAAAAAATAAACTTCCTTAATTATACGAGTTACACCCAGAACGCAACAATGATTACGGATCTCCACACGAAGAAAACAGACAAACACCAATTCTGGAATTTGAATATCTGAAAACCCTAGATACCTTACGCATCGCATTGTAAACACAATTTGCGACAATAAAGCCTGCCTTTTACGTGGACCAAACTGGAAATACAATACAATTATCTCCTAAGTAAACATTGCGTACATCTAGAATACACTTGGTCTAGCAGACTGACAATTCTAAATGGTCTACTCATCAGCGAACAACATAAGTACCACATGTATAAAGTTATTTTGAACCCCATAACCTAAACAAATGCCCAGATAATGTTTTCATCAACATGAATACATAGTTGCCCTTTGGGTTTTTGTGCCGTTGGTTTGCTGTTTCGTTACCGTACATACGAAAAATTTCATTTTATTCATATTAATATAAATTTGAATCCCGTACCTCAAAAATATTCAGATTATGAAATGAATCCTGCATGTATGTAGGTATCTCAGTCAGAAGCATAGAGAAAATCCAATTTCTACAAAAGCTTCCAACAAATATGGCGGACATAGGAAGAGATGTAAGTATGTGTTTCCATGGTATTGCATTGGCCTGAAAAACAAATTGATATTGTTATAATGTAATGTAAGGGTTTAATCCAAAATTGATTTATCACTTCGAGTTAGCCTGACCGATTTTTTTAACCCTCGTATATTTTTGAATTAAACATTAGACTCCATTCTACATTTGTACCAAATTCACTATTGTATGCCTCTAAATTGAGGGATGAGACCGTCTATGTCTAGTTATTTTCATGATTACCTTATCATTTTTTTGGCAGTAAAGTTTTATGGGGGACTACTTTTGTGGATTACTTTCAAGTATGGGTTTTCCATATTGTTGAAGGCCGTACAGTGAGTTTGCTATAGTTGCTAACATCTACGTCAGCTGATCTCTTATTTTTATTCACATCTTTGCTTAGATTCGTTGGGTTTCAAAGCTTGACATGGTATAGCCACTTGTGTATAGTTGAGATTCATGATGTCCTTTCTGGTTTTATTGTGATTAAGGGATACACAGTATCATTTATGTAAACCTCGTTTGTTTTGATATCAAGATAGCTAGAGTTAGCCTCATTTGTTTCACAATATTGCATGATTTTCAAAATCTACATTATATATGATCAAATCTTGTTATAAATAACAAACTTGCCGTTTTTGTAGAAGATCTCTGAGCAGCTGATGCTTCTTTATCATACAAGGCTCGTTCGTTGATCGATAGGCGTGGATGAGCTGAAGGTGAATCAACAACGACGATCATGAATATTATGGACCATAAAATACCCAGTCCACCTGAAAATCAAAAATAAGTATCGTTAACAATAAAATACCCAGTCCACCTGGAAATTAAAAATAAGTATCATTTTGACAATAAATTACCCAATCCACCTGGAAATTAAAAATAGATATGATTGAATATAAGATACCCAGTCCACCTGGAAATCAAAAGTAAGTATCATTGACCATAAAATACCCAATCCACCTGGAAATCAAAAATAAGTATCATTGACCATAAAATACCCAGTTCACCTGGAAATAAAAAATAAATATGATTGACCATAGAATACCAAGTCCACCTATAATTCAAAAATAATTATCATTGACCATAAAGTAACCAGTCGACCTGGAAATCACAAAAAGACCAATATCAATGACCATAAAATACCCTGTCCACCTGGAAATAAAAAATAAATATCATTGACCATAAAATACCCAGTTCACCTGGAAATCAAAAATAAATATCATTGACCATGAAATACCCAGTTCACATAGAAAACAAAAATAAATATCATTGACCATAAAATACCCAGTCCACCTGGAAATAAAAAATAAAAGAGTGTTGACCATAAAATACCCAGTCAACCTCGAAATCAAAAATAAATCATGACTTGACCATAAAACACCCAGTCCACTTTGAAATCAAAAATAAATATTGTTGACCATAAAATACCAAGTCCAACTGGAAATAAAAAATAAAAAAAATAAATAGCATTGACCATGAAATACCCAGTCCACCTGGAAATCAAAAATAAATATTATTGAAAATAAAATACCCAGTCCACCTGGAAATCAAAAATAAATATCATTGACAATGAAATACCGAGTCCACCTGGAAACCAAAAATAAATATCATTTGCAATAAAAAAAAAAAACCAGTCCACCTGGAAATCAAATATAGAGATTGTTTACCATAGAATACCGAGTCCAGTGGAAAATAAATGTATATCGCATACGATAAATAATATGACAGGCAACATTAGTTTATCGATATTCAGTCAGTATAAGTATTCTTATTTTTATATAGATGTAAATATTGTTTATGTTTCAACATTATATCCAAAAGAAAAATATAATCTTTTCGTCTGTTAGATTTATTCAAATGGGGAAAATAACAGTATAGCCTTGTCAGATAATTTTACTTGTTTAATCATTAATAGTGTACTTGTTTTGGTTATATTAGTAACTCTAAATGCATAGAAACCGTTTTTGTAGAACTGTAGGACAAAGAAACAGAATTTGCTGTCGTCTCGGTTAACTTTTATCAGGAAATTTGGTCTTGGGACACCCAAACTGTACAGAAGTAAATAGTGGACTAAATAGAAAAAAATGCCTAAAAGAATAGGTCATCTTTAATTCGTGGAGTATTAACTTTTTATTTTATATAAATTTGGCAGCAAAGAATTCTCCAAATGCATTAATTGCCGATGCTAAAGCATTGGTTTTTAGGCGGATTTTATATTTTTGGACAACAGTCTACCAGAAATAGTAGTAAAATATTTACCATATAGATATAAGACGGCGTGCCAACAAACATGACAAGACAATGTTCCTGATACTGCCATCGCTACTGCAGGGCTCAAATAGGCACCTACAACACAATATCAATTTGGGAAACGGTATCATTTACATCCTTTTATTTAGACATGCATTACAAATAAATTGGTGGTACTACATACATTAAAAACTGTTATATTTTAAAAGAATTTGCTCTTTTATTTTTGAAAATGAATCATTATCATAATTTACAAAAATGTAAACCGAAAGATTTGGACAAATAGGAATTAGAAATAAATAAATTCAGACAATATATTTCAAGTGCTACAGTATAGTGACAATTTGTTAATCCGTCTACCTAACCTTTTACATTTCTTTGTGATTAATTAATTCTATTGTCAAATATATGTATGTCGTAGCGGAAACCACCTTGACGATAACAAATTAATACGTTGGACACTAATCCTTTTCTATAGATACTGTTTATATATATATATACTTTTATATGTTATTTTGAAGTCAGTTTAGGTTTTAGGTCTGGTACCGTCCGGACCTTGCTAATAAAATGTAAAGATTAGTATTCCGACTTTGAGTTAATCATAGCCGGAAAAACTCCCGGTTATATATTATTAAGATATGGTCGCTATTTCGTCATCTCAATTGACCAAATATGAACTGATACACAATAATTATTGTTGATGTATTGGGATTGAAACATTTTACGATAAAACCTTTGTATTTACTGTAATAAGCTATCCATACATAGAAACAACAAATTCTGATATATTGCATTTTCGGCATCTGCCAACAATGTATCTTCCATTTGGAATGTGCTGGTTCAAATATTACTTGTTTTTAATTCTTACCATTTACCTAACCTACCTGCATACGCAATAGTTATCATTCTGGATTTTTCAGACTTTGGAGCCCATGCAGATATCACACCATTAATGGCAGGTACAGACGGTCCCTTTCAAAAATAAATAAATGTAAGCTTACGTATAATTTAGACGTGGTTTATTCGTGTAAGAAGCTCGTGTCTGCATGTGCGACTTGTTCCTTATTTAGAAGAAGTACACACTGCAAGAACTCAGTTTTTCTAGTTCTGTTTGGAAAGAAGAACGCAATATATTTTATATTGTGAAGCAAGTCTTTTGTTTAAGTTCGCTACAGATTTCTATACATTTGTGTCAGTCGAAACGTTGATGTATCGAGACTATGTATAATCAACATTTCGACAGACACGTTCATAGTATGAAAGAGAGATTCCGGTTATCAAGCTGCGCATCATCTAATTATAGATTATCGAAAGCAGATGGAATCTTGGGTTATTTAAGGTCTTTCACCACTAGGATTTTGGGATGATTTGCACGAATAATTTTCTACATATTGCAAAGTGAGAAGATTTCAGCGAAAAAAAAACACAAAAAAAACATCTCTGAAGAATATTGTGTATTATTTTATATTTCTTCGTTAAATCTATACTGGTTGAAATTACCGATATTTTACAGAAATATATTCGAAAGAAACCAATATAGCTTTACGTGTGTTAACCACTGAGTAACACTCTTTAAGGCAACTTTACAGCAGAGAAAATAATATGCAAGATTGAGGCAGATATCGTATGCAAATCACCAGATGGTATTGAAACTGAGAACATGTGAATATCAATTTAGAAAACAAATTAAATATACGCTATAACTATGACTATTTGGCAACTTTGAATTATCAAAATACAAGCAACCTGATCATCGGAATAACAATTCTGGATAACTATACATAAAAGGCCAACTATTACTGTATCTTTTGATTAAGATACGCATTTGTATATGTAGCATTGTCGACACATTTAGAAAAAAAAAAACAATTCTCATTTTTATTCTTGCTTGATAATGATCAACACCGCATTGGTCGTTTTCCATTACTGAACACAATATAAAAAAGGAGATGTAAGATTGTCTGCCTAGGGCAAAATAGGCGGGAAAGTCTACACGCGTTGTCAGTTTGTTTTCGATCTGTGAGTTTGACTGTCCCTCTGGTATCTTTCGTCCCTCTTTTAAACTACTACCCTGATGTTATAAATATGCCATCGTTATATAAATGTGTATCTTTTGTTTAAAATATTTATTTGATACCAAAGTTAGAAACTCTAACTTCGATTTATATAAGAATGTTTAAAGCTAATCAACCTGTATGAATTAGGAGGTAATCATATTTGAGTGTTTTTAGAGAAGGGGTGGGGGCATCAATGAAACTAGGCAGGGGAGTTCCGATATTGTTTATGACTTTGTTTTTTACTCTTTACACACACAGTGTATGCCATTATTTAGGTCATAGATTCGTGGCAGTGCTTTGTCTGTAACTAAGTATGCTTCACTAATTGTTAGGTTGTGAATAATAAGGGCAAACTTTTAAAAACTACAATAGAATACAATTAACTTGAATAACATGATAAAGTGATATTTAACATATTTCTAGATATACGTTTGTTTAATTTCACATTTTGATTTCTCTGTATAAAGATGTTTCTGTTAGGCCATACGTGCAATATATTATATTGTATAAATTTCAAGATTTCAGTTGATATTTTGATGTTTGTTTTGTAGTGCCTGCTATATGGAGATTGAAGTATATTGCCATTACTACTACCAGTTACATATATTACTACAGTGTCCGCATTGTCATTAACACAACCGCTTACTTCTATAATGCCCTGCAATGTCCGTACTACCATTACTGCGACATATTGACTGTTTTGTATACAAACAGGTAACACAACCATACATATACTGGATAACAACACTGATAGTCCACATATTCTATAATAAAAATTGTTAAATCAATCAAAACTATAACAAGGCATAATAAAGATGCCTGAAACTACCCTGTCGAAACACATGATTTCACCCCGTTTGCAATTCATGCATTTTCAGCTGTTTTCAATCCCATGCATATATGTGTGTAATAGCACATGGATATATGATATTTGAACTAACAGCTTACGTGTATCACCTTCAGAAGTATTCAAAACGCGAGCACGCTGAATAACCTCTCATTCGTAACAATTGCCACTGACGGTGTATGCAAAAGATATGGAAATGATATGGAATCTTTGGAAGAATCGAGAACATAATGTATTAAGTGTGTGGCCTACAGGCATCTGATCACACAAGTTATAACAGATTACCTATTAAACATGAACAGGGGTACCAAAGACCATATTTGCCAAAATTATTCAAAATCACGCCTTAAGCCTTCTGGAATTTGTTCTCATATGCGTAATGTTAACACCTCAAAGAGCACTGATGGAGCTGCGTTACTTTGAATTTTAAAAGACATAAAGGACTTTAGTTTTTAAAAATGACCCCAGGGAAAAATAAATTCTGGGGAAGTTGGGTCTTTCTCTATCAATGTTCATGATAGTTTCAACTTTGATATTTTCTGTCATGAATTTATACTTCAAATGTGATTCTATTTTGGTATACAGATTTGAACATAATTTGAAAATAATATGAAATATATATTTTTTTAAGTACTATAATGGATTATATAATATAATGTTATAGGATGAAGGAAGGAGATTAATTATATAAGTAAAAATGTAAATGTAGAAGGAAATAATAGTTTTAACAATGGTTGCAAAATTGAGTTCATTAATGCATTTCCTGATTTTTTATACTTCTATATGTCTGTTTCCGATTTTACACAATTCTTTTTTATGAAATTTCATAAAGTTGTACATTCGAAAAAAAGTTCATACATGCCAAAAGTTGAAAACCAAAGACTGATAAAATATTACACAAAGAAAAATGGGCAAAAAACCAAGTTAATTAAAGTGGAAAGATCTTGTAAAAATATTAAACACAGTTATTGTAGTACATGTTTTCTGAGGTATTAGGCTATTTCTTGTTTGCCATTCTTCAAGATACACATCGATCTCACTTTGGAATATGTCCTTTGGAAAACAAAGTGTAGGTTTAGTTCAAATATCATTTGATAATGAAAACAAATCATTAGTTAGTGGGCAAGCTCACATATCCAACGTCCTACATAAAGGCATGGAAGAATTATTTAATTTACTTCCATGATATAGTGACCCGCTGTTATAGTTTTACAATATAGAAAGTACTGCGAGAAATTAAGGCCTTATTCAAGCGACAAGAATTAATTGTGATATATTTTTGAATTTTTTACTTTCCTTAAAAAAAAAGGTCCACCATTTCAAATTTTTCTGATAATTGATCTCAACAGAGTATTTGATAAATAAAAACCTTCATTCAAATTTTAAGAGGATCTGATAACAAAATATCCCCACGACAAGAACTATATGGAATATTTTAACAAGTATGTCTCCCGTTAAAATGATCCACTAATTCAGATTTTTGATATTATGGAAGATTTTGATGAGGGGAAACCTTCATCCAAATTTAAAAAGCGCTTCTGATATCCAAAATGTAGACGAAACAGGTTTAACCACTGTACAAAGGCTATCCAAAACGGTTGGTACTAACGGAGTTAAACAAGTCAGAAGTATTACTTATGCTGACAGAGGTTATCTTGTTACAGTATGCAGATCCGTAAACGCCTCTGCGAACAGTGTACCATCCATGATGATTTTTCCTAGAAAGCACTTAAAGACGACTTTATTATACATGGACCTCAAAGAGTTTGTGGTGTAGCACATTCATCAGGTTGGATGACAGCTAATAATTTTATCATCTCCCTACAACACTTTGTGAAGCAACCAAACCTAGTAATGAATAACCCGTCTTGCTTTTGTTAGATAACCACCATTCTCATCTTGCAGTAACAATACTTTTCTTTGCAAAACTCGATGGAATTATAGTGCCTTTATTTCCTCCCCACTATTTCCACAACCTTCAACCATTGAACAGGAAGGTGTATGGTCTATTGAAAAATAAAACACAGGATTGTTGGTTGAGAAATAACCCTGGGAAGCAAATGACTATATATGATCATGGAATTATTATCTTGACGATATAATACGCCAACGATAGGACTTACCTGGAATCTTGTGAGAGTCTTGGCCAAATGCTGCTACCCAAGAAATATAATAAGTGGCTTTAAGGTAAGTGGAATATTTCCCATAAATCCTGATGTTTTTGAAGATAACGATTTCGCACCTTCACATGTAACAGACAGACCGATGACTTTACACAAACAGAACAACCGAACCATGCAACTCCGTCCCCTGCACAAATAGTGGTACCAATGGAAAAGAGTCAAAATTAATGATAATCAACCAGAAGAAACAGGCGAGCATCATGAGGGAGACAAATCTACTGAAGGACAAGATAAACAGATAACAGGGAAGTGACCCAAACGAAGAATGTTATTTGCAAACATATAGATCTGCAGTAACGACAACGAGTTCTGGTAAATGTCAAGGGTGATGAACACTGCCCTATTTATGCATTTCAGGTATGCATGGAAGCGGAGTTTAAAGAAAAAATCGGCATTGAAGAGATATTCCAAAACATGAGAGGTGAAGCTATAAGAAAAGTAAACTTCTACAAGGATTTTATTACTGACGACAAAGATTTAATATCAGAGAGTAACAGTAACATTCATTTGTATGTCCGGAACTGCAGATTTAATCCTCGTACTGTTGTGCAACATGTATCAAATTTGCGCCAATTTATCAGACTTGAGAACAACAATATATCTGAGCTAACGCAATTAAATACTACGTCCACAGCTGACACACGAAGAAACATCTATTTAGTCTTGAAAGGACAAGATGCAGCAGCACAGTACACCAATTTCCGAAAGCACAACCACTAAAATAAAACAGAAATATTTCAAATAGAAAGCATAAGGCTGCAAACCTTACAGATACACCAGAATAGATGTATTCGAAGATGAAGAAAAGAAGAAATATCGGAAACAGCAGAAAACTGTTAAACGAAAGTTGCCACTCTAAAAACCATAAATAGAAGCAACGAACAGAAACAGAGAAGATAATCAAAACATTCGGACAACGAAGATGAATGTTTTTGATTGGTCTGCTTAGAACTATATTCGAACAGAAAATCAAAGGAATCTTGGATTCAGTGCAATGGATGGGTACATAAAGATTGCACTAAAGGAGACAAGTATTTATTTGTCAGAAGTGTGACTCTGACAGAGGGACGATAACGCTTACTGTTTATGTAAATGTATTCATAATTGAATGTAAAAATTCTTATCGAAATATTATACTTCCCTTTTATCATATTTAAAACAGTATTAACAAAAATACCAAACTCCAAGGTTAAGTTTTAAAACGGGAAGTTAAAAAAGTAAATAATAAACATTATTCTCATAGAGAAAATAGATAAACGAGAACAATATTTCATCATCCAAGCAAGTAAGAAAAAAATGTATAATTGATTGAAATTTCGTGTCCATCTTATTCCAAGTGCATGACAAAGCGCATAAGCAAACAATGTTAACATTTAGCTTGATTAGTTTGCTAATCATATCTGCGTTCTTTTGTTTATGATTTAAAAACTACTTTAGTCCAATTCATCATGCAACACATTCCCTGAAAATATTAAAACAAGATATATACTTGAAACTGGAAAGATTATCACTGTCGAGGTGTGCTTAAACACGAAATCAACAAATAGAAAGACTGATAAATAACTGTCAAATCCCTAACTTGGTAAACTTACAAGTTAAGATGGTGTTTTATCGCAATGGAAAAATTTCTCTTGAGAAACAAGATTGTTTCATACGATTGATTTATATACTTTGCCGCGTATATCTATAATATGGTCCGTCAAGTTCCAAATATATAGTCTGTGGCATATCTATTATATGGTCCGTCAAGTTCCAAATATATAGTCTGGGGCATATCTATTATATGGTCCGTCAAGTTCCAAATATATAGTCTGGGGCATATCTATTATATGGTCCGTCAAGTTCCAAATATATAGTCTGGGGCATATCTATTATATGGTCCGTCAAGTTCCAAATATATAGTATGGGGTATAAATAACAACATAGAAAGCAAACATGTCCATTTGAGCATGTGAATAGAACACGGTTATTTCTGAAAAAAAAAAAAAACATCTGAAACCTTGGATGTGAAGAAATATTTAACGAAACTTTTCGTATTACTAACCTTACTGGTGAAAATCTTGTAGCAAGAATTCCTCCTGGAACTTGCGTGAATAAACCTCCGACAAAATATGCCGTATTTAAATATAATGTTCCGTCCACTGTCCAATTCAAGGATAAGTTACAGCTACTGTTTAGAGGAATACACTAAATAACGAAAAAGAAATCTAAGATTAATAAGAAATGAATGCCTGTTTTCTTTTATTATTATTTTGAATGCGAAAATAAAACAGACGTTCTCAATTGGATCAAGGCAGCATACAAGAGAAGACACAAACATAAAAACGAGAGGGTCATATGAGGGCCATCTAGAAAATAAAATGGAGTCATTCTGGTACTCGATCATGTAAGAGCAACTTAAAGATTAAATCATCGGAAAACAGTTAATTTTTGTTCCAAAAATTGCACCAATTGTACGCTGATTTTACTACTTTTAGTTGCTCACATTTGACCGAGTACCAGAATGTCCTATCCATAGAGTAGGTAACCTGTTGAAAGATTATATACTCCGTAGTCAAAAGTCGGTAATATGAAAAGTCTAACAGTTAAAGTGTGTGATGGTAAGTCAATAATATTCCGTATACAGTTGTATTAGCATTGGCACATCTCATTTTCACGGATATTTACTTTTAGACCACGGCCTCTCAGTCATGTTTCATTGAATTTGAAACTTTTGCATGGTATTCATGTTTCAATAGTGTTGCTATTTAGATTTCAAAACTTTTACTATTCTATTGATATTACATAATTATTTCACATTTTGTCATTCCGGAGCCTTTTATGGCTTACTGTCCGGAACTCATTATGTGAGCTGTAGTTGTTCGCATCCTTGTCATTAAAGTTTGGTCTTTGGTGGAATGTTGTCTTATAGCAATCATGTCACATCACATTATTGTTGGGAACAAAGCAAACGGATCCTGTTCATGATAGTTGCAGTTTATTGTTATATTGTTTATCTTTCTTTCATCTTTTCAAATATTATAACTTATGGAAAACTCTTTCAGACTACTTTGTTTCAGTTTGAAAGTATGGGTAATAGTACAAAACAAAAACAAAAACACACACACAGTCACACAACCAAAATTATTTTTATCTGTCACAACAAAAAGAACAAAGCATTTAAAAGTATTGCATCTCTCTGGAAATCATGAATATCAAAGAAAAGTAGGAAAATACATACATGTTTGAATAAGCTGTAAGGTTGCGTATGATTTGTTGTTGAATGTTTTGGTTTTACTATATGCACCATAACCATTGCAAATACTGAACGATATCCTATTGAAAGTAGTAGTCCGCAAAATCCTAAAAATACAACTAAAAACCTTTTTGGGCATCCCATCTAAAACAGAAAATAATAAACACAATTAAAAAAAATTTTAAGAAATTCCAGCGACAAATAAAATAAAAAACACAGCTAAATACTTTCTTGAACTTCCCATCATACCTGAAAAAAGAAACAAAATACATAAACAACTAAAATCCATGTTCAAGTGCTAATTTCTGAAAAGGCATAAAACACAAACAATGCACTTTTTGAACAATCAGTAATTTCTGGGGGAAAAAAAGTAATTCGTTTCTATTAATTCATTATTAGATAGAGAGTATAAGAGGAAGAAACGTATGTTCGATAACTTATATTCATGAATTGAAGTTTTCATTTTTTAATTATTATTGATATATTTATCACATATATCTTTTTCGGAGTATTACTAGGATTGTTTCTTGTCGTTAAATTGATACACATTTATACAATACCCATACTTCCAATTATTGATTTGTACCAGGATTTAATCCGTAACACTTAAATCATGGAAGTAGGTTTATGTCATAATTACAGCTTTATAGTTAGTTAAATGCTTGATTTTGCTTGGTGGATCGCCAGTGTATTTTTCATGTATTGTTTTATATGTAATTAGTGACGGTCACAGCGCTCAGGAAATTTTACCTTGTCTTGACTTGTATTTTTGGCAAATACCCCTCATGTGTATGATATCTGTTCAAAATGATACTTCCATGCTTAGATCAAAGTATGAATCCCTATGGCTTTATTTTCATAGCAAATCAACTTAGATTTGATAATTCTCCATATTAAGGCACGGGCCATTTGATTTTCTGGTGCTGGGTATTTATTGTAAAAAATAATCTGGCTTCCATTTTGATTAAAAAAAATGTTCTGGCTTCATCTCCAGCAAGTATGACATGTATAATGTAATAAAAAAAATCTTGCTTTGGATTGACTGAAGAAAAAAAATTTCTTGGTTGGTTTGCATGGCTTGATATAAAATCCCCCTCCGAAAATCAAATGGTCCGTGCCTTAGCTACAATGTACTGATGAACTAAGTTCGCGACACTGTAATAATAGCTTTTTCATAAAAAAGAAAGCTTCAATATTGTAATATTCATTTATCATGTTCTGCATTTAACTGTTTTTCATTTTTTTTTTAAATTTATTTTCGTTGTTTATTATCATCAGTAAGATGATCTACACAACAGACTAACTTTAGTCCATATGATCAAAATGCTTATCAACTAAAGCGAATTTTCTATCTCCCTTTATCTTAAATCAATCTCTTTGTATGTTTTTTTTCATGGTGCATTCTTTTGAATTTATATCTCTCATCATGCTCATGACCGAGATGATACGTGGAAATTCACAATCATATATACATTCTAAGAAAAATATAAAAATTCATTATTTGTAAGCTGCCCTACCGTATGAGTTGCGGGTTTAGTCAAAATAATTGTATTCAAAGAGCTCCAGAAATATTTCAGGACCACGATAATTCCAATTCAGGATATCCATAAATCATTAAGGAACTCATGAAAGACCAAAAATGTTGACTAAATTCGCGACTCACACGACCATGCACATTCATTGGTGAATCAAACAAATGTTAGATCGTATTGTAATGCTGCATATGAAATCATGGATCACAAAAGCAGCTTTCAACTTTCACTCATGACATTTTATTAAAAAAAAAAATCACCAATGGTTCTTACCTCTGTAGCCTTTGCAGTATGAATTAGAATAGATTTATTTCGAATAGATATATATACATTTTATTAACGAACGGGAAATATTCTAAAAATAAAACTTTCAGAAAGTTTATATTACTGTGTAAACTTGTACGTGTGTAAGTCGTGGCCGATTCCTTTCGTTTTATACATGTATATGTACTGATAGATAGGATGGATCCCCTTAAGAGTGGATATCCGAGGATTTTAAAGTTTCCGAAATGACTAATTTCTATAATATCAATTTTCTTTGTACATAGGTATATACATTTTGACCACAAATACATTTATTGATAAGAAGAAATGGAGTTTAAAGTAAATAAAATGACACACGAACATGTTACAAGGTGTATGTATACCTTTTACATGAATGTTTATTTTCCATTTTTCGTCATAATCTTTTCATTTCAGAAAATTGTGTCGATTCACCTACTAGTTGATGTATTGCTTTTTTTCTTTCGTTTACTTCACATAAAAGGGTCACATAAGCTTTGCTTAAAACATGCAAACTTCATAAACAGGATAAAATTCTGTGTTACTTGTCATTTAAAATCACATTTCTTTTTAAAGTTTCCAGGCGATTTAGCCGAAAAGAGCTTGACATTTGTCTATCGTTGAAGGTAGTACGTTCATGATGTTGACCTTTTGGTGTCTTTTAACATTGTGTTGATATTTCATTGACACATACCCTACACCTGCATATTAACCTAAGATTAACAAAGGACAGTGCATATTATTGAGCTGTTTTCGTCTTCGTTTTTCTAATATGTTTCTATATATTATGCTGAAATGTTAGAAGTACACACCAAGTCTTGCTTATATGGGTCATTTTCAAAAAATGTCGAATTTTCAGTACACCTATGGTAAAATCTTACTTTTAAAGGAAAATGCAGTTGTAACTGTTTAAATAAAAGTTTGTAGGATTTATGAGTCGGAACATCCATAATAAACACGATTTAGATCTATTTTGATATGATTAAAATATATTTAAGTCAGATCTTTGCGTAATTTATGTGCGTACAGTGTCAGGGTAAAACATTTCAAATGATTTTTTTCCTATTTTCTGATTGCTTTGATATCTGCAAAAGGAACTATTTTAGAATGTTAATAATAACTCTAACAGCTTCTTTGTTATTCTATGTAACATTTTTTCTACAAACTAAATTCAATCGGCGTACATGAAATGTATGTCTATCCTGTTACCGCTACTATATCAACCGTTAAATTGTTTCTCCCTATAAATATGGAACTATTCATTGATGAATTCAAAAGCACAAATCATCCTAAAAATTTAACACAGCACGTTTCTTGCATAACGGTGTAGAAAAAAGAAAATTCAAGACATTTAGAGGACAAAATTAGTGGGTACCCTTTTGGCATGTCTATGCTCAGTGTTACTAACATATTATATTAAATACACGAATATTATATTTATAAAAAGTGCAATTACGTGTTGGAAACCAAAATCACAACAGAAAAACATTATCACTTCATCAAAGGGAGTAGTTATTTCACAACAGCATTAATGAATGAAGAAATTTGTCTATCCTGTTAACATGGTTACTATAGTTACAGTAACAGGATATAGACAATATTTGACAGAAACGTCTTTAAAAAGTATATAATTACAATCGTTTTACACATAATGAAATGTTTGGTTGTTTGAACTCATTTAAAGGTTACAGCGTCTTAATCTTCGCAATTTATCAGATACAAATCCAATACTGCTATCGGTAACAGGATAGAACAAAAGAAGTTAATATGGTGATATATCGTTAACGAACGTTGCTGTTACCAAAAAAAAAGACAAAAGTAAACCAACATGCGTGGGAGTTACTTGATGTTGGGTTTATTAGAAAGAGAAAAAAAAATGCTGAACATTATGAATTGCTATCTTATACTTAAGCTGATGGTGGTTATCTTTATAACCGTTGAAAACCAATTTTTAGAGGTATTTTTCAGTACAATATAGAAAATTGACAAATAATCTATCATTACACAGAATGAAAATATATAGAAGTTTTTACTCTTGAAAACCATCTTATTGGCTATGAAAAACAAGCTTACAATTTTATTGAAACCTTTTCTAAATAACCCGAAATTTCTTTTGAACATTGAAACAGGAGAGACAAAATATTGCACCACCTATCAAAAAATGTTTCAATATATTCTTGTATGACATTATCAAGATTGCATCTTTTTATATGTTGTTCCATAAGTACTGTTTGTTTTTATTTGCTTTTGAAGAGAGTTGTTTGAATTAGTAAATAGATATAAGAAGATGTGGCATGAGTGCCAATGAGACAACACTCTATCCAAGTCACAATTTGTAAAAGTAAACCATTACCGGAAGTAGTCTCAGATGAAGCAGAGAAAACTATGTATGTTTTTAATTGACTGCTTGTTGTTTGTTTGCATTCAGAAGCAAATTGTTCACACATGTTTAAGACGAGAACAAATTGACAATAAATCAAAGAGCTAAGTTCTGCAATGGATTAACCCAGATAAAGGAGAGGAATTTTGACTGTTGCTTGAAATGAAGGTATGTTGGATAGAGACAGAAAAGTTGCTGATATAATAATTCTGCACAGCCAAAAAAAAATCCCTATATAGAGAATGGGTTTCGACATACATATTCGTGTCCAGTTGTAATGCAAAGGTATATGTGTATCTTCATCTTCACTGCCCAAAAGAATCATCCTTGGGTCTTTACAATCGAATCGTTGTTAAATCTTGAAAATCGACCAAGATGAGAAAAATAAAAATGCCCAACATGGTGTGTCCCCTGTTATGGATGCATCACCCGACATGCGAAAAACTGCTTCAGCCTTTTAAATGCTCTCATAGCATAAGATGTCAGTCAATCTAATCATGGTAATGTGACTTTGAATCTGTTGGGAACACATTAAAAAGAAGATATTCATGTGTCTGCTTTTTGCGAAACCCAATGTTGGTCGAACGTTAAGTGTTTTATTGGAAAAAGTATTGACAAAGCTGCATGTGTGGTGGTCCCGTTTTAAAAAGATGTGGTTGTAGTGCTAAGACTAGTTTAACAAACGATGTATTTAAAAAAAAAAAAAAACGAGGACAAAAGTTTAACATATCCTGCCATCCAAACATTATATGGAATAACAAATAATTTAAAATATTTCAGTAGAATTCATTTTCAATTATTTAAACTCTTAGAATGCAAGCAGTTTTTGATAATATTTCATTCTATAAAATAATTTCAGGCATTTTGTAAACTGCCTTTCAATTTTTCCACGCATTTTGTAAAATACCTAAACAAATTAGTCAAAATATAAAATGCCTGAATCTTACAGGCATTTTAGAAAATGCCTAAAGTTTTCAGTCATTTTACAAAATGCCTAAATTTGGAAAATGCCTGTAACAGATACAAAGCAAAAAAAAAACATCTAATAAAAACACAGACCGGACGTGGCAGGGTATTTATACATCCCGACAACAAAAACATAAAGTACAGATCTAAGAGTACTCACAGTTACTGACAGCTAGTTCAAAGCCAATATCAACTAATTAAAAAAATCATGCATCGAAGACTAGAATATCAATTAGTACGCATCCAAAATCCAATGGATTTAGTGTAAGGACGTCATTAACAGTCAGAGAAAAACATGACTTTGTGCACTGCTAAGATACAGATATCGACAGATTGTAGAGCCATGGATGTGCATATGTATGTAAAAATAATATTTAATTTAATTTTAATTTAATTTAATTTACTGATAACAAAATCAATAGTTATACCAATAAAAACAATATTCAAAGGTCTATTAATTACAGTGTTGAATTAGTAACCGTTTAGAATAACTTTATTTAAAGGATCGATCAGTTTACCCGGATCGCTTCTAAATTTCCGGTCTCGGTAAACAACACCTTCGTAAAATTAGGATGTGATATCACGTCTGAAACAAGTTTTTTTACAGGTACAGCCAAACTTTCAAACAAAATCTTTGTATCTCTGGAAGAATTAAGGTTTTAAGTAATTTGTGGTAACGAAATTCCTGATTTAATCATTTACCAATAATACATAGATTACGTTCATTGAAATCAAAAACATCACAACAGACACGGGCATAACGAACGAGATGTGAACACCGTAAGATGGTGCCAGAGGAACATCATCGTCCATAAAAGGAAAATTAACAATAGGGAACGACAAATCGTCCCTTACATCGTAAATATTTGTGTAGAATTTATGTCTATTTGATGTTATTTATTTATCAAATTTTCATAATACATAGTACAGTGAATTTACCCCGTAAAGAGATAGTCTTCAACCAACTCGATTTTTATACGCCTTTTTACGGGACGTATTATGGTATACCGTTGTCTGTCTGTCCGTTCGTCCGTCTGTCTGTCCGTCGGTCGTCAACATGTCGGAATAACTCAAAAACGCTTTAACCAATTTTCATGAAACTTTGATGAACTGTTTATATCTATTGACGTAAGTTCCCTTTCGATTTTTTTTTCAAATTTTAGATTTTACGTTTCCGAGTTATGTGATTTTATTAATAAAAAGGGGGAATTTTCCAGTTTTCGGACAATAACTCAAAAATTTAATGTTGCAATAGTGTCAAGCTGCTTATCCCTTTCACCTTTCATATTTCACAACTGGTTCGCTATGCCCGTGTCTGTAGTGACGTTTTGGATTTCAATGAACGTAATTTATGTATTACTGGTAAATTATTAAGTCAGGAATTTCGTTACTTCAAATTACTTAAACCTTTAATAAATTCTTCCGTAGATACAAAGATTTGGTTCGTAAGTTTGGCTGTACCTTTAGAAAACTTATTTCAAACGGGATAGCACATCCTATTTTTTACGGAGATGTTGTTTAGCGAGCCCGACAATTTAGATACGATCCGGGTAAACTGATCGATCCTTTTAATAAAGTTATTCTAAACGGTTACCAATTCAACACTGAATTAGATCTTTAAACATTGTTTGTATTGGTATAACTATTGATTCTGTTATCAGTAAATTAAAACCAAACTAATATTATTATTATATACATAT